AAAAAAAAAAAAAAGGAAAAAAAAAGGAAAAAAAAAAAAAGAGATAGAGACTGTTCCATAACCGGCAACTGAAATTCTGTTTTTAAGATGCTGGAATGAAACATCTGGACAGCAACAATCATGACCAGTGATGATAATCACAAGTGTATGATTTCACTTTAACAATCAGTCAGTTTTAAAATTTGTATTTATTTTATATAAACACAAGCAGACATCGCTACACTGTGTAAGTTGCAGCACCTTCTACTTTTGGGAAAAATCGTTTTTATTTTGTTTCTGATAAGCGTGTGGCAGTCTGGGAAAACCTGTCGGACGCTACCGAGGCTAAATTCTAGAAAACAGCAAAAAAAACAAGTAGATCTCAATGCCGACGGGGACGCCTCCGCCATCTACGTGAAGGAAGCTATTAAAGAAAAACTATTTCAGACATTTGACCTTGCTGTGACCTTGAACTCGGACAGATGCATGGACGGACACACGGACACACCGATGGCAAAAAGTCTTCAATAGCCAGAAAATCGCCTTGAACATGAAGGTGCAAGTACCATCACTGTATAACAAACAGGAAGGAAGTTACTGAAGAAAAACTATTTCAGACCTTGAGCATGTTTGGATCAATTCCAAAAAAATCTTCAGCTAGTTACAATCTTAATTCTAAATAAAATCCTACAAACATTCAACCACTCGTTCTTGAGATATCGCAATAATGAGAATCTCTTACTCAGTGACAGAGGCACAAAAAGACAAAAAATGGGCCGAAATCACGTTTTTCTGCCTACAACATACTTTGAAACATCAACATAAAACATACATCACTAAAACTACATAGAAATGTTTTTATCTTCTTTTTAACCTTGCCTAGGCTGTCTTCCTGAAAAGATCACAGTGTGTAAGGAGCAACAACGTGAGCTTAAAAAACTCAAAAGATGTCTAAAACCTTGCTAGCCAAGCATGATTTCCTCACACAGTGAAGGTCACGCTATGATCACGTGTTTGGATAGCTACAAGACGTAGCGAAATGGACATAAGCCTAATCAGTTCATTGTTGTAATCAGACTCTGGCTCTGAAAATGTCCGCCATGCTACTGCACTGAAATCTTTAAAGGCTGATTTCTCCCTTTTTACCATGTGAAGGGTTTTCGGATTGAGGGTTTTCCACAAAGACAAAATTGTGTGTGTATGAGTGGGTATGTAATTCAAATCAATCGAAACTCGCCTAGTCTATCCACAAAGTGCTTCATATGCAAATTAAGCGGGTGTATAAGGGAGGCTCCCGTTTCATAATCATGTCCGTCAATGTTCTCCGTAGCGAGACGTCCTCCGACAGTGCCTGCTTCGTAC